ACGAGCCGTGCCAGCCGCATGGATGCCGTCATGGTCGAACTGCAGGCGTCTGAAGGCGACGTGCGGCCTGACCAGGAGGCCGATACCGCCAGTGGTGCCGTCGCCGTTGCCCGTGCGCCGAGCAGGGTAGAGGTCAGCCTTCCACCCATGGGCCCTGGCGGCCTTCAGCGCCGACTCGATCCTGGCCTCCTCCAGGTGGTGCTCCTGGATGAGCACCGCCTGCACGTCATCGGGGATGCGCTTCTCCTCCAGTTGCGTGAGGAGGGAGCCCCAGCCCGTGACATTGACCGTCATGATCTTGCAGGCCTTGCCACGATGTCTCTGCGAGACCCTGGGCGACGCGGCCCCATCAGGGGCCCCCCCTCCTTCTCTCCCGCTAGCCGACCTGCGGCCGACCTGGTCCTCCAGGACCGACGCTGACGGCTCGGCGGCCGTCGCAGCTCTCGGAGAGACGGGGGGGTGATCACTCCGATACCCAAGAGGCCCAAGGGGGCAGCAGTCGGAGCACGCTATGGCTGGGAGCCTGCATCTGATGTCAGCTCCATTCCCACTCTGCAGTAAGACGTGCCCGGCTTGGGGTCGGGCTGCTCCAGCTCGAAGGCCCCGTCGACGACGTCGTCCAAGCCTGTGCGCGCGCCGAAAAGCCGTGGCGCTGCAGCGTGTATGAGGTGCAGGACGACTGCCCGTGGAGCTCGCAGTCGTAGTACCACCTGAGTCGTCAGGATCGCTGCCCTCGTAGTCGCTGACGGTCGCCGTGTCAGAGCAGCCCGTGTAGGACGAGGCAGACCTGGCCTCCTCTCCAACGGGGCGGCGAGGATCCACTCGAGTATCAAAGAACTCCTGCTCCCTGATCATCGCCTCGGCGTGGAGGGCAAGCTGGTTGTCGTACTCATCGGGGTCGAGGGCCTCGAGGCTCCGTAGCCAGTCGTGGTAGTGGAAACGCGCTCGCCGCCGAGCACGGAATGCGCGCCTGCAGATGTCGATAGCCATGTCAACTGCAGCAATGTGAGGGTTGTCATGCCCATCCTGTTGGGCCTTCTCCATGACCAGCGGCCTCAGAAACGGGTGCGACAGGTAGTTGGCAACGTAGGGCACGCAGTGCCGCCTCCAGTGCCTCCCGTCCATATCGTCGTCCAGGACGCGCGGGTCCTCCAACCAGTGCCCCGTGAATCTGCGAAGGGCACGTGCGAGCTCCCGCTGGAGCACGAGTGCTTGTTGCCTAGCAGGGTCCATATCTTTCCAGACGCAGTAATCAGGGCCAGCCACGGCCTGCATGTCATCATACGTCGGACCGTCAAGATAAGTAGCCCCAGTGTTGGTGAAGGAGGTGCTGTCACTCTCGCCGCCTAGGTAGAAGTAGTCGTCGTGGACTGGACCAGGCGCCCCTGCGGGAGTGGAAGCCGAAAGTGAAGAGGAAGAAAACCACTGCGCGTCGTCGCAGCGCCCCATGTAGTAGTGGCCGTCCCAGACGTGGCACCTCCGAAGAGGTGGATCGCCCACAAGCCCGAGAGCGGCGAGATCTTCGTGACCGTGTAGATGCCGTTGGTGAGGGCCGACCCCGTCAAGGACGTCAAAGGGTCGGCCGTGGAGCAGTGGCGGCCCCGCCGCTGCTGCCAGCACCGCGGCCAGCGCCCTTGGCTGCAGCAGCCAGCCGCGCGCGCGCCGCCGCCACCACATCCTTGTCGCCATCGGCGACGAGGCCGCCAGGCTCGGCCGCTGGGCCAGCAGGCGCCGTGGGGCCTCCTGCCTCGCCTGCCGTCTTGGCCCCCGCTGCCGCAGCTGGTGCCGCTGGCTGCGCCACCGCCTCGGCCGCCTCGCCTGAGGTCTTGCGCTTCTTCTGGAGGCGGTCCTTGAGCTCCGAGTGCTGGCGCTCGAGCTCGCGGGCCTCCTTCGCGAACTTGCCGAACGCCTCCTGCGCCATGGCCTTGAACTTGCTCTGGAGATCGGCCTTGCGTCTGGCAGCCTCCTCACGGTCTGACTCCTGAATCTCGTAGTCTTCCAGGGCCTCCAAGCCGAAGAGACCTTCGTCGTCCAGCTCCACGTTGTCACCCTGGAGCAACTTGGCGATGGACAGCTTGCCTGAGAGCGGCGGGCCATCCGTCTGCGGTGTCGCGCCAGCAACCTGCTGCGCCAAGGCCTGCACAGCCGTAGTGTACGCTGCCAGAGCCTCATCGTACTTGGCGGAGCGGTCCACCACCACCGACTTGGCGCTGTCCAACTGGGCCTGGAGCGAGTCAGCATGCTCGACAGCCTTGTCCAAGGCCTCAGCTGCTGCGTCCCTGGCGGCCATGGCCTCGTCCACGGACAAGGGCTGCGCCCGACGGGCACTGCGCAGGCTGTCGAGCTGCTCCTGGTACTTGCGCACTCCGCCCTCGTCCTGCTCCAGGCGGAGCAAGCTGATGAGCTGCACCAGCTTGGCCTCCTCGGGGTCGGCGTCGCTGCCGCTGGGCAGCTCTTCCACGCTGGACAAGGCGAAGCGAACCCTGGAACCGTCACGCCGTCCCCTTGGCGTATCGGCTCGGCCGCCTGTCCCAGGTCGCAGGCCGTCCTCGTCGTGCCAAGGCGCCCGCTGCACCACACGCCGCTCAGCAGAGCGAGGGCGCCGAGGAGGGGCCTGCGTCGGCACCAGTTCGCCCTTGCAGTGCTTGCAGTAGCGCCACCACGCCTCGTTCTTGCGGCAGCCGCACTTGCAGCAAGGGGTGCCGCCGCCCGAGGCTGCAGGGCCGTCGCCGCCGCGCGCCGCGCCCTGCGGCCGCTGGCCGCGCGCTGGGCCCGCAGGGGGGCCTCCGCCGCGGGGCCCATGCATGGGCGGCTGGCTGCCGTGGTGTGCCTGCAGCAGCAGGCGGTCGTGATGCCGCCGAAGCCGAGCACGGGCGGCAGAGCGCTGGCGCCGCGCCCTGCGGTGCCAGGCGGGCGAGCGCTCGCGCTCGCGAGGGCGCCCCGCCACGGGCGACGGCGATCGCTGGCGCCGCGTGCCCGAGAGGTCCGCCTCGCGCCCCAGGGGGGGCGGGAGGCTGGGGTCGTGGCCGTCGGGCTGTCCCGAAAGGAAAGGACGCCTCGGACCACAACGCCTTGAGCCAAAATGGCTACGGAGGAGGAGGAGGAGGAGGAGGAGGAGGAAGAGGAGGAGGAGGAGGAGGAGGAGGAGGAGGAGGAGGAGGAGGAGGAGGAGGAGGAGGAGGGGGCACGGAATGCGACACCAAAGTACGCGTGGTCACCGCGCGGCTGAAGATCTCGCGGGACGGGGGGGCACAGCCTCTTCGCACGACGGTGCAAGAACCGTATGCAACTGTCGGGGAGACGTAAGACTCGGGTACGGGGGACTCGGGTTGGCCCGACGGGGCCATCATAAAAATGACGAGGCCCAATCTGAAATTTGACGCGAGCTACCGCTGCAGACATCCCACGAAAACTGGACCGTCAAAATCCAAGACGCGCTCGTCAAAAAGAAGTCGGCAACCCGAGTTCCTCGGGTCTTGCGTTTCCCCGAAACTGGAGGATCAAAAGAAGAAGCAGCAGCAGGAGTCGGCGGCGAACCCTGGGGGGAAAGTGAAAGAGGGCGGGCCTTCTCGGAAGGCGGCGGGACGTCTCAGAAACCCGCCGTCCTGCTGGGAGACCCGCCGCGGCCCCGGCGTAGCCTTCCAACGGTTCTCGGAAGGCAGGCCTTCTGAGGAGGTCCGCCTCTCTCGCTTCCCCACCGGCCCGCCGTCGCAGGAAGCGCCGCAGAAGAAACAGCAGAAGGAGCAGCAGAACAGGCAAGCAGGAGAAGCAGCAGGGGGGGGGCAGCAGGAGGAGCAACGGGAGCAACGGCAGCAGGAGCAGCAGCAGCAGCAGCAGGAGCAGCACGAGCATCAGCTGAGGAGGCGCAGGAAGAGCAGAAGGAGGCGCAGCAGGAGGCGCACCAAGAAAAGCAGCAGGAAGTTCACGCCAGCCCCCACTCCGGGAGCCACGATGGCAGCAGTACTTGTCTTCAGGAGAGCACCTTCGTACACGCAGCAATGCCGATGTACACCACAGCAGCCGTCTCGTCTGCACCGCAACGCCTGTGATCATTGACACCACAGCTGCTGTTTCAGCACCCCCCCGCGTGCACCACACTGCCTGCGCGTATCACAAAGATTGCGTAGACCTCCACGGTCCCGACAGGGCCAAAGTCCGGAAAATTGCTGGGGGCCCGAATGTATCACATCCAATATTATGATCTGACTGTCAGTTGTGAGTGATGTCGTTTACTGGCCCGAGGAACGCTCGGACATTTTGAGCCCCCAGCGGCGCATGTGAAACACAACGCCTGTGTACACGGAAATGAAGAGGGAGGAGGACGAAGAAGTGCAAAAATATGCCTGGGCCCATTATAGCTCACAACGCACGCTGAAAATCGTAACGACCTTTCCGCACTACAGCGATTGTGTACACCACGGCGCCTGTGTACACCACAGAGCTTGCAATGTGTACACCACAATGCTTGCGTACACCACGGCTGCTGCTGCAACGACAAATGCGTGCGCCAGAACGCCCGTGCACACCGCACTGCCTGCGTGCACCATACTGCACGCCCGCGTGCACAACAGACCCTGGGCTGCCCAAGATCGCAGGCTGGATCGGGGTCGGGGCGTTACCGCTACCGGGGGGGGAAGGGAGGGGGTAACATGCGTTACCCCTTGGGTGGGTCAAAAAAAACTGGTCTCAATCTGAACACGAACGACAGCCATCCAACGCGCGTTTTCAAATGACGCGAGGGGCTCTGGGACAGAAGGTGGCAGCTCTGCCTCCGGGCTCCTTCTGGGGGCGCTCCTGAGGCGCGGCGACGATGCTCCTCCCAGAAAAGCCCGAGAAGGGGCGGCAAGCCCTCCAAAGTCGGAATCCTCGAAGCTCGATCTTGGGTGGAGATGCCCGCTCACAACAGCCTGGATCCTCGAGGCTCGATCCTGGGTGGAGATGCCAGAGAGAGAGAGAGAGAGGAGACGACGAGCTCGACCGATGCTCCGGCCGGCGCCCGCGTCCTCTCCAGGCTCCGCGCCGCCTCCTCGTGCGCGGCGCGCAGGCGCTCTCCTCGGGGAAGGCGCACGGAGAACGGACGGACGAACGATCCGCCATCGCCGGGAGGCCCAGCGTCCATGCCAGGGAGGCAGGCGCGCCTGCAGCACGCAGGCCTTCAGTGAAGGCCACTTGAAGCGGAATCGGAAAACTGAAGCCTCGCTCAGCGCCACGCGTACTGCGTCGGACGCACGGGGAGGGAGGGGGTACTGCAAGAAGGGCAAGCGAAGCTCGAGGACCCGGTCAGACGACAGTGGGCGGCGGGGGTTATAAAGGGCTGTTACGGGAGACACCAAGACATACTAGTACTATATGTCCTCCTTGTAGGCGCGCGTCCGACCCGAACATATAGTATCCCTTTGTAGTGCTTCGGTTCCCGAGCGGTGTGGCCAGAAAGCCCATCTCGGGCACTTCCGGGGACCTCCCATGACCCTTTTGGGTCTGTGCTGGGAGCCCTTGGGGGGGCCTCTTGGTTCCATTATGGGCTGTCTTGGGGCTCTCGTGGGCGATCGTGGGGCCCGGCTCGGCCGTCTTGAAGCATTATTTGGGCCTTTTGGGGCGTCTGGAGGCGATCTCGGGGGCTTTGAAACCGTCTTGAAAGCTGATGAAATCCGAAAGGCGAATATGCTAAAATTGTAAGTTCTACGAATGGAATGGGACGAATTTGGGGCTTTGAAGGCCCCTTGGAAAGCTTTTTGGGGTGTCTTGGGGGTCTTTTGGGCCGTCCTAACGCAATTGGAGTCCCTCTTGGAGCTCTCTTGTGCTATCTGGGGCCTCCCTTGAGCCTTTCTGATGACCCCTCGGATCGCTCTGGGTCTGCTGGCAAGGCGTTTGTGGAGACACGAAAAGCCGGGTGACCTTTTCCAAGGACGCCCAAGGGAGCCCCAGAACCCCAGATCCCGCGGGTCAAGTTTTTTCGGGTGGGGGGGGAGGGTTCCCCCCCCAGGGCTTGTAAACATATAGGAAGAGGGATCTATATATATATATGTATATATGCATACCTTCATACATACATACATACATACATACATACATACATGCATGCATGCATGCATACATACATACATACATGCACACATACACACATACATACATACATACATACATTACATACATACGTACATACATACATACATACATACATACACACATGCGTACATACGTACAACCACACGTACATGCATGCATACTATACCATACTATATTATACTATACTATACTATACTATACTATACTATACTGTCATATAATATACTCTACTGTACCATACTATATTATACTATACTATAATATACTATACTGTACTATGCTATACTATACCATATTTTATTATACTATAATATACTGTACTATACTATACTGTATTACACTATACTAAACTATACTATACTAGACTATACCGTACTATACTGTGCATACATACACACACATACATACGTATGTACATACCTACATACATACATACATGCATGCATGCATGCATACACACACATACATACATACATACATACATACATACACCCATACATACATACATGCATAAATACATACATACATACCTACATACCTACGTACCTACAAACATACATACATACATCCATACATCCATACATCCATACATCCATACATCCATACATCCATACATCCATCCATCCATCCATACATCCATACATCCATACATCCATACATCCATACATCCATACATCCATACATCCATACATCCATCCATCCATCCATCCATCCATCCATCCATCCATCCATCCATACACATACATACATACATACATACATACATACATACATACATACATACATACATACATACATACATGTATACATATAGATAAGTCGGGCCTGTCCGGGCGGCTGGACGGGGGACGCGGGGTCGCCATACCTGGGCGCGCAAGCCGTTGCTACCGCTTCGCCTTTAGCGATTGGGGGACTCCATCGGGCTTGCACCACCGGTCACTCTGGCGAAAGGCCACTCTTACGTCTAGTCGAGTATCTTCTGTTTCCCAAAAGAGGCCTCCCGGATGGGGTTGGAATAGATGGGGTCGGAGGATCGCGCCGCATCGACGATGCATCGGCGATGCCTCGCCGATGCATCGGCGATGCGGCGCGATCCTCCGACCCCATCTCCTCGGACCCCTTCCGGAAAGCGCACGGTGAGGGCATCGGATAAGGAATCGGCAGGCAAGGAGGGCCCAGGGTCTGGGGGCCGCTGGAACACCACCTGACCCTCTGGCCTTGGACATCACCGCCGCCCCCATCAGGCAAGGAACTCTCGAGGGTCTGAGGCCTCCCTGGCACATGCCTCACCCAACGCCCCCAGCGTAAACCCAGAGATCCGACATCGTGACTTTTGTCAATGCGGGGCCCCGGAAGCCTCGACCGTCTTCCCCAGCTCCATTTTCTCGTCCCGACTCGTTGCTGGATGGTCCTGGGGCCTGGCGAGGCACCCCCGTAGAGGCCGAACGCAGCGAAAAACCTCCGCCTTGACTTTTCCCATGCGTTTGACCTCTGTCGGGCGTTGGCAAAACTGGGTTTAGTGGGACCTGGTTTAGTGATGTGTATTGGGGAACGCCCCCCCCGCCCCATTCCACTAGCTGGAGCTGCCGTCACCCGAAAAGCACCAGCTACGGCAGACCTGGTTTGGTGACTCCAGTCCATATTTTGGGCTTCGGGGCCCAATCACTAACCGGCTCCCCTTAACCAGGGCCCTGGCTATACCCGACTCTGGGGACCTAACGGTCCCGGGGCCTGGCGAGGAACCCCCGTAGAGGCCGAACGCCGCGAAGAACCTCCGTCTTGATTTTTCCCATGCGTTTGTCCTCCTCCTTCTCTCCTCCTCTCTCCTCCTCCTCTCTCCTCCTCCTCCTCTCTCCTCCTCCTCCTCCTCCTCCCCCTCCTCCTCCTCCTCCCCCTCCTCCTCCTAACGCCCCCGCCGGCGACAGCCCCCCGCTGTCGCTGCCCCCCCTCGGCCGGCCCCTGGGCCCTGGCACGCGCGAGCGCCTCCGGTCGCCGCTGAGTGCTCCGGGCACCCCCCCGCGGCACGCCCTCGGCGAGGCGCAGCCCCGCCAGAGAAGGCCCCACCTGCGGCAGGGCGGCACGCCACCAGCGACCGACGAAGACGCCCGAACACCTCGGACCCCGATGTCAGGGGAGGAGGAGGGGGGGGGGGGCGGGGGGGGCGAGGAGGAGGAGGGGGGACGAGGGAGAGGGGGGAGGGACGAGGAGGAGGGGGGAAGGAGGAGGAGGAGGAGGAGGAGGAGGAGGAGGAGGAGGAGGAGAGAGGAGGAGGAGGAAGAAGAGTGGGGCGAGGGAGGAGGAGGAGGAGGAGGAGGAGGAGGAGGAGGAGGGAACAGGAGGAGGAGGAGGAGGAGGAGGAGAGGAGGAGGAGGAGTGGGGGAGGGAGGAGGAGGGAGGAGGAGGAGGAGGAGGAGGAGGAGGAGGAGGAGGAGGAGGAGGAGGAGGAGGAGGAGGAGAACATGTCGCTCCCCCCGGTCGTCCACCCCAATCTCCGCGGGTCACCGCGGCGGTGGACGGCTCCCCGTCGTCTCCCGCCGCCGGCTGCTGCCACGGCGATTCGCGGGGGCCCTCGAGGTGGCGGTAGAACGCGTCCGCGGTCGAGGAGGCGGGGCCGCCGCCCTGAGAGTTGGCGGCGCGCAGAGGGTGGCAGGGGGTGGGGAGTCTTGTTAGAAACACCCCTGCTTCTTAGAAGACGCGGGCCTTCTCTGTAGATGTAGGGCCGGCGCTGACTGTAGATGTAGGGCCGGCGCTAAGTAAGAATCGGCCTCCTTCTAAGAAGCCTTCCCCCCTCACCCTACCCACCCCCTTGTACGCGCCGCCGCCAAGACAGGGCTGTGTGTCTTCCGAGGTCGGATCTTCTGAGGCCACGGGCGCGTATGTATGCGCGGGAGGACATTTTCGGCCAAACATACGCATCAGGCGGGGAATGCAAGGGCGTCGGGCCTCCTGGGGCCCCGAGACTGGCCGAAACTGGCGCCGCCTCACAAACCGCCCACCACAGCGTCCCCATCATTGTGTAAATCTGCAGACCTGTCGGCCAGCGCCAGATTGCTTCCCGCCCAGATGATGGGAGTAAGCAAAATCGGCACCACCGAGGGGTGTGGTCCCCCCCTCTCGCTCGAGACATCCGTACATCGTGGGCCCCCTCGCTGGAGGTGGCCTTTCTGGCCCCCTGGTGGTAATGTCGCCTCCCCTCCTCCGAAGAGACAAAAGGAGCGAGGAACGTGAGCAGGGAGCTTAGCTGCCCCGATACGCAACACGCGACACGTAGCGTATTGATACGGAGCTCAACACGTAGACTGAACACGTAGGTCTGACGCAACACGTCCGCAAAAGCATGGCGCAATACGCTGAGCCAACATGCCACGTACTGACACGTGCGTTTTAAGCACGGCGCGTGCTGCGCCTCAAAACGGGCGTATCGAGGCAGCTGATTCAGGGAGCCTTCTGGGCGGAGAGCCGGAAGTCGACCAGCTCCTGGTGCAGCCTCTGGGGAAATCAAACGGTACCGACACCGACCGCCACCCCCTGGACCTCTCCATGGGCGCCTTCTGACCAGGATCCCGAGGCGAATCCAAAGGCGACGATGAGTCGGCCGCCCAGCGAGGCCCCCCCATCATAAAAAAAGGACAACGAGTCAACGGCAGCGGTATGGGGTGACTTTGGAGGCTGGGAAATGAGCACCAACACCCTCCACAAAGGCAAACTGGTCCTAGATTTTGGTGTTGGTGGAACTCTTCTGGCCGCCCACGAAGCCCGAATCTTACCACCATCACCGAGATCTGGATCATGCACCCTCGGTGGAGGGTGCTGGTGGCACTGCCTGGGCCTCCGAGGGTGCCTTTTCTTCCTCGCAGCCTCTGCGCGAACTCGCCCCTGCTGCAGTGCTCGCCCTCCCTCGGGGACCCGCTCGGACACGCCGCGCCCCGCGGGCCCTCCAGGCGCAGAGGCTGCGAGGGGCCCTCCTCGCAGCGGCCGTCCAAACTTCCAGGCGCCCGGGGGCGCACAAAGAAATGCACACGAATCCCAGGACTCCCCCATCGTTTCCCACATGTTCGGGATCTTCGTCTCTCCCCCCCCACCTCCCATCTTTTCCCACACTTTCCTGGGAGTCGACGCTGACCTGTGTCTGGGTGTGTTGGTTCCCCTCCTGGAAACGAGACGGGAGCATCACAGGAGTCACAAGCGACGCGCCTGCGCGCGGCTGTTTTTTTGTGCGACCCGGCGCGGTTCTGAGGGGCGCTTGCGGGGAGCGCATGGGGTCTCGGGCCCGTCTGGGCCCCCCAGCTCTGGCCGACGTCGGAGCGTGTCCTGAAGACGTCGACCGCATCGTCCCCAACACGGCGGACATCGATCTGGATGTCAGCCGGCGCCCGCGTACACCTGCGGAGGTCCATGCGACTGTCTTGGGTGGGCCCTGGACCTGCGCACCTCTTCTCCAGCTCGCGAGTCGCGCCAGGGGGGGGGGGAAGCGACGGAGGCGCCGCTGGTGTCCGGGAGAAGGGTCCAGCGCTGACCCAAGAAATCTGGGCGGAGCATACTTCCCCAACTCGTGCTTGCGCTTGCGCAAGGGCCCTTACTTGCATCACTTGGTAACCCGACGGGTCTGCCAGGGATCTTCTACGTGGCCGCCCCGTGCCGCCTCGTGGGCGCTGGCGGGCGCCCCGCGCGCTGGGTGGGTCCGCTGAGGCTCAGTGGGCCCTGGAAACGACAGGGCCGTTTTTGTTACCGGTTCCGTTTTGGCGTTTTCTTACCGGTTCCGACGCCGTTTTTTCACCGGTTCCCTCGCCGCTTTTTGACCGGTTCCGGCTCCGGTTCCCATCCTGGAGCCGTTTTTGTTGCCGTTTCCGGCCGCCGCTTTTTTGCCGCTTCCCTTTTCAAAGGACATGTTTTTGGAAACGGTGAAAACACGGCCCTGCCGTTTCCGGGGCCCACAAAGCGCTGAGGTGACGCCACGTTGCCGCCCCGTGCCGCCTCGTGGGCGCTCCGTGCGCCGGGTGGGTCCGCCGAGGTCGCGCCACGCTGATGCCCCAAAGGGCGCTCGTGGGCGCCCCGGGCGCTGAGCCGACACGACGCAGCTGACACTGCACAGCTTGCAGCACACAGTTTGCACCTCATAACGTGCCCTGCAAATCCGCCACTGTGCCTCTCGCCATCGCTCGGACGTCCATTCCCTGTGTTTTTTTTGGTTTCGTGCGTGGTTCTTTCGCCAAATGATCAAGGATGCTCCTCGATGGCCCTCGCCGAAGGAAAAATGCATACGTCCGAGCGATGCCAAGGCCTGCACGGGGTTGGCGTGTTAGAATGCTCGTCGGTTGTCCGGGGAGTGTTTAACGGATTCTAGTTTTCGTGCGCACCCCTAAGGAAACGCTTCCCCTGAGCTTGAGTTCCAGCGCTATGCTCCGCGCTATAAACTATAGACGGCAAAGATGGCTCTCAAGACGGCGTCCAGGACAGCCAAGATGTCCCAAGACGGTATAAGATGCCCCCAAATGGCGACAAGACGACTTGAAAGCCTTCCAAGACGGCCCAAAAACGCTCCACGAGGCCGTCCATAAGAGTCCGAGGAGGCGAACAACAACATTGTCCTCTGGTTTTTGCAGGATTTGAAATTCTCACCTGCCTGTTGGGGTTTTCGACCGCCCAAGAAGGCCCAGGATGCCTCCGAAATAGCTCCAAGACAGCCCATGAGGCCGCCACAACAGGCCCCAAGTCGGCCCAAGATGACCCAAAGATCGACCAAGAGCCTCTCAAGAGGGCCCCAAGACGGCCCTGAGAGGCGCTCCAAGAGAGCACCAAGACGGCCTAGAGAGGCCCCCAAGACTCCGAAGGCGTCAGATGGGCCAAGACCCCCCTAAGGCGGCCCAAGAGGCCCCCAAGAGGCCCCCAGGAGGCTCCCAGGAGGCTCTAAGAGAGCCCCTAAGAGGCCTTCTCTCCCTCCTCCTCCTCCTCCTCCTCCTCCTCCTCCTCCTCCTCCTCCTCCTCCTCCTCCTCCTCCTCCTCCTCCTCCTCCATCGCACGACAGGTCTCAGTTCAGACCGCTCGCTAAACTGCAGCGGAGCGTGGACTCGACCTCCTCACTACCGCGCCGCGGACAACGAGGTCGAATTAGCGTCTTGCCCCCGTTCATACAAGTCGCTGGAATAAAGCTGTTCCTACACTCAGTGTCCCTCCAGCTGCGCTGCTGCACAGGCACGGTGGCTGGGTATGCCGCGGGCAGCTGGATATTACACAGCATCGCTCACATTGCATATATTTCACCTCCAACTTACACCACGTATGCTACACGGCCACACTTTGACCACATACACTACACCGCGCAATTGTCACCTTCACAGCTCACACCACGTAGCTTAGACGACATAGCTTACAGCACTAGCTTGTACCGCACAATTAGCCTTCATCTCCACGGTGCAGTAAGCACCTGCTGGGGTCAACGCTGTCAAACATGGTGTAGTTATCTGTTCTTCGCACCAGATGCGGTCGGTAGAGATCGCGCCGCATCGCCAATGAATCGCCGCTGCACCAGCCACCAGCGCAGTCGGGAAGACAGAAAGCCCGGTTTCCGATCGAGCCGCATCGCCGATGCAAATCGGGCTCTGGACCAACTCGCATTGCTGACGGATCGGCGATGCGGCACGATCCTCCGACCACATCTACGGCTGGTTCCTGCCGCGTCGAAGTGGGCGTTGGCTTCTGACGCCGCGTGAATCGTTCAATCTTGAGCGCCCTCCGTGATCTGACAGAAACAAAAATCGTTCAAGGCTGGACTGTGCAAACTCGAGCTCCGGCGCCAGCAACGCCGCACCCTGGCCCCATTTGGGCGTCCTGAGTCCTCGCTGGGAGGCACCTCGTCCTCTTCCTCCTCCGCCTGATGGCGGCGCGCTAACAGGGGTTGCCCGGAGGGAGGAGGGAGAAGGGAGGAGGGAGGAAGGAGGGAGGAGGGAGGAGGGAGGAGAGAGGAGGAAAGAGGGAGGAGAGAGGAGGGAGATGGGAGGAGGGAGGAGGGATGTGGACCAAAACGGCCTTCTAAGAGGGCAGGGGGGGGGCCTCTCCGAGGCCCTCCCGCCTCCCGGGAAAACCGCCGAGGACTCCCAGAGGGCCCCACAAGAGGGCAGGATGGCCTCCCAGAGGCCCGGCCCCCTTCCCGCCCGCCGAGGAGGTTCGGTGGCCACTCGTGGGAGCCTCCCATACCATCTTGTCGGCTCTTGCGGAGCGACGCTAATCGACGCTAGCCGACGCTAAAACGGCGCTATCCCATCGACTCCCAGATACTAACCGACGCCAAACGAGGCTGAAGACGGAATTGCAAAGGGCATACCAGGTGCCCATCATTTGCTACCGAAAGAATTTGGGATACGTAAGACTCGGGTACGGAGGACTAGGGTTGGCCTGACGGGGCCATCGTAAAAATGACGAAACCCATCTGAAATTGAAAACGAGCTCCCGCTGCAAACATCCGACGAGAACTGGACCGTCAAAATCCGGGACGCGCTCGTCAAAAAGCGCCGGCAAACCCGAGTTCCAGCTTACTCGAGTCTTACGTTTCCCCGTAAGAAAGCCCCCCCTCCTCGCCCCGATGCTAATCGACGCTAATCGACGCTAGCCGACGCTAAATCGGCGCTATCCCATCGACTCCCAGTCGCTAATCGACGATGAAGACGAAATTACAAAGGGCATACCAGGCGCCCATGATTTGCTACCGAAATAGAGGCCTCCTAGATGGGGTCGAAGTAGAATTGTTCGGAGGATCGCGCCGTATCGCCGATACATGAGCAATGCATCGGCGATTTATCGGCGATGTATTGGCGATCAGCTGGCGATGCATCGTCGACGTGCGCGATGAATCGGCGACGTCGGCGTGAAGCAAATCGGGCTCCACATCGAGCCGCATCGGCGGTGCATCGGCGATGCGGCGCGATCCTCCGACCCTCTCTATACTCCGACCCTATTCGAGGATTCCTAGAAAGAAGGGCACCCCCTCCTCGCCCTGGCCCCCCCCCCTGACGAGCAAACAACTCACACCCATACCCACAGGAGGGTCGGAGGGAGGAGGACTGGCCATGGGTATGGGTGCGGCTTGTCGCACCCTGGGGGAAGCTCCCGTTCGAGCAGGGACCCCCATCCGACAACACGCACCCGTAGCCCCCTCCGCCCCCCCGATGGGTATGAGTGCGTGTTGTTCGATCGCCCCCCCCGTCTGTGCGCCGCCACGGCCTGGTCCGCACCCGCGCCCGCGCCCAGCAGCCGCTTCAGCTCCCGCGAGGCCTCGACGGCTCGGGGCACGCCAGCAGACCGCCTCGCCGCTCCCGGCCAGGCCCGAGGATGGGACTGCTCAGAGGCCCTCTCGATGGGGTCCAGAGCTCCAACGCATTGACACAAATCAAGACGGGGGGGTTTTCGCCGTTGTCGGACCCCAGAGGCCCTCGCCGGGCCCCGAGCCCGTGACGAGAACGACTCAAGATGAGGCACCGGTCCTGGACAGTGGGTCGAGCCTTCCGGGGGGGCCGCGTGGAAGAAATCACGACATCGGATCTCTGGGGTCGGAGTAAATGTGGCCAGAGGATCGCGCCGCATCGCCGATGCATCGCCGATGCGTCGGCGATGCATTGGCCACGTCTGTGATGCACTGGCGACGTCGGCGTGGAGAAACTCGGGCTCCACATCCAGCCGCATCGCCGATGCATCGGCGATGCGGCGCGATCCTCCGACCCCATCCACTTCCCCATCCAGGAGGCCTGGAGCCTGGCCAGGGTCGGCGAGGTGGTCGGCCGAGGCCCCCCGAGATGGAGATGCGGAAGCGCAGCTTGAGGGCCTCCACGACGTGGCCGAAGCGGTCCGCCTGGAGCTTCGAGATCGCGTCCGGAGACGGGACGGCCACCGACTCCTCGCGCACGCGTGAGGCACGCGCTCGCGTGGCTTGGGCATGCCTAGGTCAGAGGTCTGGCGCGCGGGCGCGCCAGATCCACGGATCGGGAAACGTCCCCGCGAAACACGAGGTCGGTGCCGCGATTCGGCGACGAACCGCGACGACTCTGGACAGAAACGGGACCCGTCGCAAATCCACGCGCCGGGATCCATGATTCGTGATTGCACTACCTGCAGGTCGGGCGTGTCCCCCTACAGGCGGATTCCGGCCGAAACATGAAAGATAGTCCAACACATACGGACACATGCCGAAAAATGATCAACACATCGTCCCTGGGCTTTTTTACTATTTTTGAAGACTCCTCCTGTAGAAGGACAAGCTCGACTTGACACTGCCTGGAACGAGGTCGCCTGGCCTCCCTGAGGGCCAGGGCGGCCGAGGAACTCCCTAGCAGAGCCTCCAGGCGCCCCCCCCCGGAAGACCCCACATACCAGGAAAAAAACTTTCGGCCTGGGGATGTAGAACATAAGCCCGATGCGCTAAAACAGGACACTCCCAGCCAGAAATGTTCTAAGAACATGGTGCACACCGCAAAAATCGAGAGCGGCCAAGAGGGGGGTGTCCAAGAGGGGGGGGTGCAAATCATGACCGGCGGCATGTGCGCGGCCCAGCGGGGGGGGCAGGGACGTAATGAAACAAGAAGAGGCGCCATGAGATCAGGGGAAATATCATGGCCCTCGCCATGATATCCACACCCCCCTAGTCATCACCCCCCTCTTTTCCGCTCCCGGAGAAAGGAGCTCAGAACATTCTTTGGTAGGCCTATGGGCAAGCCGGGACGCTGCGCCACTGCTCGATTCCTGGGGGTCTGTGTCCGGGGGGGCGCTGTCTGGCTCCCACCGTCGTTCCCTGATCACAGGGGGAAAACAAGCCTACCTCGCTTTTGACCACCCTCGCTTCCAAGAGATACCAAACGATGCCGGCTGCCAAATTGCAGCCTGTACTGGTCAGGCCGCTTGACGAGGAGGCGCGTGGTATGACTTGGTTTTGCCTGGAAGCGAAAGCGGGGTAGGTAATTCACGCTCTTCATTCGGCCTCAGGCCCGAGGCCACGGATCCAAGCGAACATAGCCAAAGGCTTTGTGGGCCCCCGAAACGCCAGGGCCGTTTTTCCACCGCTTCCCCCAAAAATGTCCTTTGAACATGGAAACGGCAAAAAAACGGCGACCGGAAACGGCAACAAAAAACGGCTCCAGGATTGGAACCGGAGCCGGAACCGGTCAAAAAACGGCGACAGAACCGGTGAAAAAACGGCGTCGGAACCGGCAACAAAAACGGCAAAACGAAACCGGTAAAGAAACGGCCCTGTCGTTTCCAGGGCCCACTAAGGCCAGGGGTGCAGGCCCCTCCCGCCGATCGCCCCATGTAAGCTACGATGTCTGCGCGGGCTCCGGAGGTCCCCATCCTCCAGCCAACCAGCAGACAGCCCGAAGCAACAGCTGACAACGCATCTGGATTTAGGTCGGGCATGTCCTCGTACAGGCGGATGTTGGAATACACGTTTTACAATTCAAGACACACTCAAACATAATCCAACAGTAATCGAAGCATCGCCCCCGGGCTATTTTTGACTAATTATGGATGGTCCTCTGTAGAGAGACATGCCCGATTCAAATCTAGATCACAAGCCAATCAGGCGAGCTGCCAGCCAGCCAGTCGACAAGAAAAATAAGCAACCAACTAGCCAGACAACCGACCAACTTAGCTGCCCCGATACGCAACACGCAACACGTACCGTATCGATACGGAACTCAACACGTAGGCTGAAAACGTAGGCCCGACGCGATACATTCGCCAAAACGTGGTCCAACACGTGGAGCCAACACGCAACGTATTGACACGGACGTCTTGAGCACGGGACGTGTCGCGTTTCAAAACGCGCGTATCGAGGCAACTGAGCCGACCAGACCGAGCAGCGCCGCCCTCGATTGGGGCTCGACGCGCTTCGGCGGATCGAATCCAGGAGGAGGAGGAGGAGGAGGAGGAGGAGGAGGAGGAGGAGGAGGAAGATGGGATGGGATGGGATGGGATGGGATGGGATGGGATGGGATGGAGGTGGAGAAGGAGGAGGAGGAGGAGGAGGAGGAGGGGCCGGCGGCAGAGGGCGAAACCCTCCCCCGGATCGGCCGACAGCTCGGCCAGCGCCCACAACTGGTCTGGGCACTGCTCTTGCCTCTGCCCGGCGGCGCTGCCCGCCCCCCCCCCCGGGCTCCCCCCATCCCCGGTGCCCCCTTCCCGGTACCCCAGGACCCCTCCTCCTCCTCTCCTCCTCCTCCTCCTCCCCTCCTCATCCTCCTCCCTCCTCCTCCTCCCTCCTCCCTCCTCCTCCCTCCTCCTCCCTCCTCCTCCTCCTCCTCCTCCTCCTCCTCCTCCTCCTCCTCTCCTCCCCTCCTCCTCCTCCTCTCCTCCTCCTCCTCCTCCTCCTCCTCCTCCTCTCCTCCTCCTCCTCCTCCTCCTCCTCCTCCTCCTCCTCCTCCTCCTCCTGCTGGATTCGATCCGCCGAAGCGCATCGAGCCCCAGTCGGGGGCGGCGCTGCCCGGTGAGGTCGGCTATGGCCCGTGGCCTCCCCCCCGCCTCTCCCGCCGCCAGCTCTCGGGGTGACCGGCCGGCCGCGGTCCTTGGTGCGCTGCCGCCCGCGCATGCGCCCCGCGGCGGCACGAGGCGCCGAGGGGCCGGCACGCACGCCGCCGCGCGGGCGCGCTCGCCGAGGGGTCCCAAGGTGGAGTCGTGGTCCCACCGGGCTCTTCTCGGCGCGAGCGCACCCGGACACGCGCACACCGCGCGCGAGGGGGGCAGGCGTGCCTAGCAACCTCTGCGCGCTCGGAGCGAGAGTACTCGAGCCGAAATGACTGTGGCCAGGGAGAAGTCGTTGGCGAGCAGCATAACACTGGGCGCAGTCTTCAACATGCTCACGACTGCAGTCACGCGTCCCCGATACGTGCCCCCAAAAAATAGGCGCGGGCGGAAGAATCGATTCTGGACGTAGGCGTTCTTCGCAGAGGCCAAAGCGGGGAACACAAGACCCCGAACTTGGCCGAAATCGGCGCGTTCCTCCAAAACGTCGACTACAGTCGGCGCGTATCAGAAGGCTGCGCGATAAGGATGCAATGGCCTTGGACGCCCATTTCGGAGCTTTTCGAGCGCGGCGCGGCCAACGAAAGTGGCCAAGGATGGAACGAGGAGGTAAGGGTGCAAATATACCCTTGGGAATATTGCCCGTCCTTATTCTGCGGTTTGACTGTACGGCGCTTCGAAGATGCTAGAGAAGGCCAGGATTCCCGCCAACACCCGAATGCATGTCGCACCACACGGTCGAGGAGACTTCCTGCCGGGGACACCCGAGGAACCTTGGATCTTGCAGGGTCGACCTACTAAAAAGACAAAGAGGCCAAGCCGCACTGGGGTATTCGTAAACACGCCGGGAGCCCATGTGCGGAGTGCGCGGCCATCGTGCGGGCGTGCACGCCCCTGCAAACATTCCCCAAGCATCACCCCGTGGTTCCTTGTCTGATTTGCAGGTCCGCCTCCATCCAAATGCTAGCTAGATGTACCACTCGGTGCAATACTCCGAGATCTGTACTCGTGAGGTCCTCATCTTCAATGAAAAAAGGTTTCGGGGAGGATCGACGGCGAGAGTTGTCTGTTTATGTGTGCCATCTTTGCTGAGGAGTGCATGCGAATCTCTTTGCGCCGTTCGATCACCCACGGCCGATCACTCAATGGAGTCCAGGGGTGACGATGACGACGATGACAGCGACGACGGCGGCGGCGACAACGGCGACGACAGCGACAACTCCGACGGCGAGTACGACGCAGGCGGCGACAAAGGCGGCGGCGCGACGACGACTTCGTCGACGACGCCGCCCTCGGGGGCGCAGCGGGGCAACCGCTGGCGTCGCCGACGTCGCGTCGCCGCCGCCGCCGCCGCCGTCGCCGCAGACATCGCCGCCGCCGCCGCCGAGGGCCGCTGCCTGGCCCGCAGAAGGCCGCCGAGGGCCTCGGCCTGGGCCGTCCACGACCGCCGAGGGCCGCCGCACCGCGGCGGAGGAGGAGGGGGAGGAGGAAGAGGAGGCCGCGGCGGAGCGGCCCGGCCCCGAGCCGCGCGCCGAGGGCGGCCGGCGGGGGGGCCGCTGGGAGCGCCGGCGGCCGGCCGGGGTGCGGTGGCCTGCCCTGGCGGGGCGACCTGGCCGGCGCCGCCGCCATCGTCGCCGCCGCCGCCGTCGTCGCCGCCGCCGCTGTCGCCGCCGTCGCCGTCCGCAGCCGCCGTCCGCAGCCGCCCGCGCAGCGATCGTCCACGCAGCCGCCGCCGTCGACGCCATCGCCGCGTCGCCGCCAGTGCCAGCGCCGCCGTCGTCGTCGTCGCTGTCGCGCCGCCGCCTTCGCCCCCGCCTTCGCCGCCGCCGCCGTCGCCGTCGACGCCGCAGTCGCCGCCGCCGCCGTGCGCCTCCCCCAAGCAGAAGCGGGCTGAGGAGGTGCGAGCGGGGGGAGGCCCACGTGGCTGCTGCTACCACTCCTTGCACTGGCCATCGCTCGGACGTCCACTGTGTTTTTTTCGGTTTCGTGCGTGGCTTTTTCGCCAAATGATCAAGGATGCTCCTCGATGGTGCTCGCCGAAGAAAACGTGCACACGTCCGAGCGATGCCAGGTGCAGGAGGAGGACGGCAGGAGAGACGAGCGCGGCCTCGCAGGCGGTGGCCTCCGTGGCGACGGGGATCTCGACGGCAGCCCCGGCTGGCGCGGGGTGCCGAGCTGCAGCCGCTGCGCGCCTGGCCACCCGGGGGGGGCGACGGCGGCCGGTCGCCAGGCCGCGCCCTCCAAAGGTCAGGAGGCCACCCCTGGAGGTAGTCCTGCGAGCGAGGGCAACTGTGCCCGACTGAAGGCAATGCGGGATGACGATTAATACAAAGAGTGAGAGAGAACCATTAAAACATAGTTTTCTACGATTTCTGCATCATGTTCTGACTGGAGGAGAACGATTTTAAAACATAGTTTTCCAGCCCGCGGCCGGTTTTTTCTAATCGTCATCCCTGGCGCCGCCGCGTGAGCACGACCCCGGGTCATTTATTAATCGTCATCCTCCATTAAGACGAAGCCAAGACAAGGACAAGTTTGGCCGGCAGCTCCGCAACACGCCTCGCGCCCCGGGGGCTCTCTCGGAGCGCTCTGGGACACTCTGAGAGCGTTCTGGAACACTCTGGATCTGATCTATCCTTATCCCAACCCCGCCCGAAACGGGCAATTGAGCCGGGTGGTCCCAGATTAAGCCCAAGATTTGGCTGGGATTTGGCGGGCCTGAGCGGGATTGTGCGAAATTCGGCCAGTTTCCGACCAAGGCACATAACAGCGCCGATGCTGAACCAAACCTCCCAAACATTGCATCATGAACCGGGTGCCCTTACCCGATACGGCTCAGGCAAGGTTGGTCGGCCACGAACGGGAACCCATACAGCAAGGCGCGTGTATGCCAAAGGGCGGCATTGGGCCGTGCTGCCCGACAAGGGTACTAGCAGAAGGCGTGCGTAGAACATGGAGCAAGCCCTTCCAGCAGTCTACGTGGTACCCACAACCGATCAGACTCCCCGCATTGCGGCGAGGTTACCAACAGCTGGACGATTGTGATCTTCCCGCGGCGCAGATAGTCAGGATTATGCTGCCGCTGGGCTGGAATGCGCTGCGCTACAGGTGAGAGGCTCTGGCGATCCCCCTTGAATCGACTTGTCTTAGAAATGGGAGGCGTCATCGAGGTCTTGTGCAGACTGGGTACCTCCGGGGCCAGAAAGGGCGGACCAACGGCGACATGCTGCATCTTCTCTGGGTCTTATCTGTCCCATCAAATCTCTATTATTGTTGAATCCACGTCGAATCTGTTCCGAATCCGCGTCGATCTCGCGTCGGATACAAGAAAGCATCGCCGTTTACATCACAAAGCCCCCCGACGATGTAACAACATAAGACTGGATGTCCAACGCTCGCTCAGCGGTCTCAACTGGTGTAGTGCCACCGCGTCCCCACATGAAGGGCTCTTGGAGCTCGCGCGGGTGATCGCAACGTCATAATGAGGACCCGACCGATACGTCCAACTTGATTCCCGCCTGCATTATATGATGTTGGTGGGAGGCAGATTAGGAAAAGAGAGAACAAGTTGTGCTCCTGACTTTGCTGGTCAAGCTGATCAGGCTTGCCTGGCTAGTCTGGCGGTTATGGCTGGCGGCGGCTCAGGACTCAACTGGCGCGTCCTACTGGTCTGAACTCCCGAAGCCAGGCTACAATATGAAATCATGGGCGGCCCTAGACCGACGCTCCAATTTGAAAAAGGACCAGTTTCAATTAAAAAAACGGCTAATTCCAAGGTCGCCCAACAACCTCCTCAAGTAAATCAACAAAATGGTGATGACAAAAATACGATTTCAATTTGAAGTCTACACTTCAAATTGAAAACCACCAATTGCAAATTGAAGCGTGGGCATTCTCGGTTCCACATGGCGGGGTCGCCACGTCAGACCTGCATTGGTTTTCACACTCCTGGAGAAACACAGGGAGGCGGAACGGCCAGTTCTGTTCGGCAGCGCGTGTTCCACGGAGACACAGCTGCACACTCGCAATCACCAATCACGACGCTCCAAACTGTCCTGGGTCTTGTATAGTTGACAACGAGCCACAAAAGAACACCAATCTCTCCATTCGCACCCCCTCCTCTTGGTATCATGAGCTGGTGAGCGAACCGATGCTGCGATGAACCGGTATGCGGCGACGTCGTCCACACCGCCTTGTTGAACTACCCAGGCGTCTCTGGATCACAGGACTTCGCGCATCGCGCCCCGCGATGCGCGGCTATATCTTCGCGCCCTTCGTGCGGCACCGCGACCTCTCCTCGCGAGGGGGCCCGCGCTGTGCCAATCTCTTCTTCGCTGCGTGGCGCTGCGCATCACAGTGTCTTCTAACCTCACGGAACGCCCCCCCCCCCCCCCCCCCCCCGTGACGCTCTGTGCCTTCCTGTGGTACTAATGCAGCGACTAGTCCATCAATTCGCAGCAGCAGCAATCAACACCAGGCAACAGCAGGGGCAGGCACCGCCGGCGCGCGACACCAGCACCTGCAAACAACTGCACACATCAAGCGCATAATCAACAATGATGCGGTTGCAGGCTTCTTACGGCCTAGCAACGGAGGCAGGGTTGACATGCAGCTCGGGATAACGCGCAAGAGGCCGAAGGATGTCGAGACAAACTGTCACTGGCATGCCGCAGACTACTTGGGCCAGGCAGCCAGCGCGGGCTAGTCTGGCCCTGGAGTGCCAGGGACAATTGTCCCTGGCATGCCGGGGACAGCCTGTGCCGTACCATTTCGGCGGTAAGATCGCTGCGTCTCCTGTTCGCCAGCGAGCCACCCAGGAATCAGCCAACAAGCCATACAACACTGGCCGCGATAAGGGACAACGCGCTTTGAACCCGCACAAGGTGGCACGCATGCCCTGGTGGCTCTTGTGCCAGGGAGGGCAAGGGCAAGGAGAAGCAGGGTCAGGAGGGGGGGGGGTCTTGGGGCTAGCCTAGCATCCTGGCTCTCCCTTGGGGCCATCATAAGGAGACAGGGGTGGGGGTTGTGAGGAAGGAGCGAAGACGAGAACAAGTGGCACGCGTGCCCTGGCTCTTGCAGCAAAGGGAGCGGCGAGACGCAGGAGAAGCGGGTGGGCCAGGCGGCAAGAAAGTCGGGCCCCAGGTGGTCTTGGATGCACGGCGCACGATCTCCGCTGACGTCCTGGATGGCAAGACGCTGGAGCTGATAAACGATTGCACCACAAAAACACACAAAAAAAAACAATCAATACACCAAAAAGACAACCCAATCAATGGATAGTTTGAGATCGATAAGGAGATCGCCCGGGAACCCAGAACCCACCGACGTCGGCCCGGAACCAATGACCAGGAACCTGGGAACCCGGAGCCGGGAACCCGGGAACCCAGCCGGCGACCAAAATCGGCAGGAAACTTTCGCACAATCTTTCAATTTCCGCTAGGACCCCTTCAGTGCAAGCACTGACTGGGGAATAAGAATACCCCTGACCCCGTGGGATGGGGCCTAAGTCAGGAGGCCCAACAACATCAGGGACAGAGGGTCCTTTTCCTCAGGCGCCCGTCTCAGACCGAGCCGCCCAGCTCGATTATAGCCCTGCTGCGAGGGCGGGGGGGGCCTGAGTGAAGCCTCCCCTACCATCTAGGCGGTTCTTGCGAATTGACACTCGTCGACGCCACATCGAGGATCATCCACGCTACATCGACGCTGCAACGACGCTCATCGACGCAACATCGGCGTTTTTTTTCATCGACTCCCAGACGCAAATCGACGCGAAAGACAGCATGACAAAACGATGTGCTACCGAATCATCGTACCATTAAGGTTAGGTCGGGCACGTACTCCTGCAGGCGGCTTCTGGACGAAAAATTAAAAATAACCCAGAAAGAATCGAAACATCGTCCCCCGACTATTTTGTGACTATTTTTGCATACTCCTCATAGGGACGCGCCCGACTACAGATTAGGGTTCTGAAGTTCTCCTTTTGCTCTCGATGAGAAATTGGCTGCGCCGCGCCGCGGCGGCGCAGCCCCTCTTCCCGAGGCCGCTCGCGCGGCCGGGCCACGACGCGCGCCGGGGATGAATACACCGACCCGGGCCATCCCAGACACCCGGGCTTCCGTCGGGCGCTGCAGGGTCCTGCAGCAGACCAGCGCGTCCCGCCACCCGCAAAGTAGCCACTCGCAAATGGCCTGGGCTCGCCGCGGGGACTCCACGATGCGTGACATCAGGGCGCACATCTGTTTGTCTGACGGTTACGAATTGGCACTCTGCAAGGAATGGAAAACGCGCTCGGTGACGCAGTATCCCGCAAACTCCTGCGCACTGGCCCGGGTCAGCGCAACCCTGCCTCTTCGGCGTCGGCCGGAATCGAAAAATCGAGGCCGCGCCGGGACGCACTGCAGCGCCATCGGGCCGCAGTGGATGCAGAAGATCCGGCGCTCTGGCCGATCCACGGTCTTTTTCCCTGCCTAGCACAGTGAATACCCGAGCGCGCGCGGAGCGCGCGGCCCACCTCCGAGGAGGGTGCCCAGAATGCCTGCGCGAACTCACGTGCCGTCGGCCCATACAGCTCCAGGCCCGAGCCCGAGAACGGCGGCGGCTCCCGTGGCCCCCCGCCGCCGCAGCTGCATCGGCACCCCCGCCTCGAGGCTTCCAGGTGGGGGGCCCGCGCGCGCGCGCTGGGGCTGGGCTCCTCCCGCTCTGCGGCGGTGGCTGGGCCAGGCCCTCCGGACTCGGCCGCCCTGCCGCGCGGGTCTGCCTCCGCCCGCCGCTCGCTCGGGCGTCCACTTTCCCCGTGCACTGTTTCGGCTTCGTGCGCGCTGCTTTCGCCAGAGGATCCAGGATGCTCCTCGATGGTCCTCGCCGAGAAGGAATGGGGAAAACAACTATATCATGTGGGGAGGAAGGGGTTGGGAGGATGAAGGGTATGAGTACGACCGCCTACGGGTAGTGATGTCCTCACCTCTCCCAACCCCATCCTCCCAACCCGATAAGTGTCTTCCTGAAGAAGTGCGCACGAACGATGCCAAGCCCGCGGGTGACCGAGCATGCAGGGGTGCGCCCACGCCAGCCACTGCGCCATGCCACTGGCGCCACGCTTGCGCGTGCAGAGCGCAGCAGCGTCGTGCCCCCCTCGGCCTCCCCGCAGCGAGGTCGGCACCGATTTCGGCGAGCCAACGTCCACGACCGGCTTGTTGAACCGAGGAGCGCACCGTGTGGGGCATGTCCCCCCTGCAGGCGGATTTTGGACGACACAAAAGAAATATTGGAAAATACCCCAACATATCCAAAAAGTACCAACAATAATCATCATCCCCAGACGATTATCAAAACTATGTTTGAAGACTTCTCCTGTAGAGGGAGAGGCCCGACTTACATCGACCCCCGCCTCGAGGCCCCAGACTCCACCTGTACAGTCGGGGCGTTGACCTAAGGGTCCCAACGAAAGGGTTCCTTCTTCAGCGCCCCGACTGTATATTATATATTCCCCAGGACCGGACATCCTCGCCCTGGACTCCCCTGCCCGCGCGGGGGCCCCAGGATGCCCCCTCCCGGGGCAGCGAGGCCGGCGGCGGGGGCACACGCGCCGCCCATCTGCGAAAAAGTGCCCGTCACGCCGCCAGGTGTACGGTCAGGTCGGGCGTGACCCCCTACAGGGGGATTTTGTGGACGAAAATATCGGGGATGGACACACCCCCCTTTACTAAAACGTGGTTTAGTGAAAACGACCTGAGGCCCAAACCTAGCGGGCGCAAGCCTGGAAAATAACGGCCACGACGCCCTCTCGAGAACCGAAAACGGACAATTCACTAATCGACGTGTCACTGTTGGGGGTTCTGTCCACCCCCGAAAATAAGAATACCCCCAAAATGCCGCCAAACAATTCAAAAATTATCAAAAAGTCGTCCCCAGACCATTGTTTCACTCTTTTTGAATCGTCCCCCTGCAGCGGGACCGGCCCGACTTCAGTATACGGGCAAAACTCGGCTCCTGGACCTGCCCCAGGTTGCACTCCGGCCAGCGTTTCGATCCAGCCGCGGCGACGTGTCCCAGGCTCAGTGGGCCCAAACGGATCGGAAACGCGACGCGAAACACCCAGCGCCAGTTTTGTGGCTTGTTGTCAGTGCGTGGCCCTCCGGGGCCAACGTTTCGCCCCGCTGGTTTTTGACGGCCCTGGTCCCGAAACCTGCCTCCAGAGGCAGTGCAATGATCAGAACTTCAGAAATCATTGAAACTCGTCGTCGTCCTCCTCCCCAGCGATCCTCCTCCTCCTCCTTCTCCTCCTCCTCCGCCTTTCCTCGATCCTCCGCATCTTCCCTCCTCCTCTGGCGTCAGCGGGAACGCATCTGCCCGTGCCCTCAACGATAGGTGCGGCGGGCTCTTCCGCGACGAGGCTGACAGAGAAAGGAGATCCTGACACAGAGGGCTTCGACTGGAGCAGAGCCTGCCTGAGAGCGAAGCGAAGAGACATCTCCTCCTCCGCCCCCTCAGCTCTCATCCTCGATCGCCCTCGCTCCTCCATCCTCCCCCTCCTCCTCCTCCTACTTATCCTCCTTCTTCTCCTCCTACTTCTCCTCCTCCTCCTCCTTCTCCTCCTCCTCCTCATCGGTCCTCCTCCTCCTCGCTGTTGATTGATATGTTCATAGACCTCTCTATGTATGTATGTATGTATGTATGTATGTATGTATGTATGTATGTATGTATGTATGTATGTATGTATGTATGTATGTATGTATGTATGTATGTATGTATGTATGTATATATGCATATATACATATACATATACATATATATGTATATCGCTCCTCCTCTCCTCCTCCTCCGCCTCCTCCTCCTCCTCGATCCCCCTCGCTCCCCCCCCTCGCTCCTCCTCGCTCCTCCTCCGCCCCTGCGCTCCGCTCTGCTGCTCTTCCTCCTCGACCTCCCCCCCCCTCTCGAGCAGACCTCGACCTCTGGGCGCCCTCGGCCCGCGGGCCGCCCCCCGCCGCGGCCTCTGCCAACGACAGTGCGCACCGAAGCCGCGCAGGGGGACCCTCTGCCCCTGCACCGGCCGGACCAGCTCTGGCGCCGCGCCGCGGCGGAACCGCCTGCCGCCCGCCGTCGCCGCCGCGGCCAAGGCGGCCGCAGCCGCCGTCGCCGCCTGCCGCCGCCTGCCGCCGCCTGCCGCCGGCCGTCGTCGTTGGCCGTCGCTGCTGCCGACGCGGCGGCCGCCGCCGCCGCCGCCGCAGCCGCCGCCGCCGCCGTCGTGCGACGTGCGGCATTCGAGGGCTTCGAGGTTTCGTGGTGTAGTTGGGCCTCCGGGGGTGTCCTCGTGGCCGCGGCTGGATTCGCCCCAAAACTCTGGCTAGAACGCACCCCAAGAGAGGTCGGGGGTCGTCGCCGTTGTCCTCCTCCTCCTCCTCCTCCTCCTCCTCCTCCTCCTGTTCATGCTCCCTCCTTCTCCTCCTCCCTCCTCCTGCTCCTCCCTCCTGCTCCTCCTCCTCCTGCTCCTCCCCCTCCCTCTGTGGGCATGTGGGGGCCCCTGGACCGTCCGAAGAGAGGCCCGAGATGAAGAGCCACTCCCCTCTGGTGGGGTCGAGTGGCCCGTCCGCCGAGCCGCGACGCCCAGCTCGGCGCCCCACCCAGCCGCGCTCCAAGAGGCCGGGAGGAGAGCCCGCGCGGCGGCGGCGCGCCAAGCGAGTGCGCTCCGGGGCGCCAAGCAGCGACGACGACGACGACGACGACGACGACGACGACGACGACGACGACGACGAGCGACGCGGCCGCAGCCGTGAAGAGCACCACGGCCGCCACGAGCAGAGCCGGCCCCAGTCTTTTTCTGCCCAGCGAGGAGGCCCAGCGGCGGAGAGGGGCGGCCGAGGAGGGGGGGGGGGGAATAGGGAGGGGGGGGAGCGGGGGGAGCGCAGCCCGCGCGCGGGCTGCCGGGACACCGAAGGAATCGGGCGGCCCAGGGCGCTGCACCGAGCGCGCCCGCGTGGCCTCGCGCCGCGTCGGCCTCGCGCCCGCCGGCCCAGACGCGGGCGCCGACCACGGCAGCGTCGGCGAGGATGGCGACGGGGCCGACTGCTCCTCAGAATCGATCACTGGATGCGTTCTGGCCAAGACTTCGACGCGGATCCCGCAGTGACGACGAGGGCCCTCCAGGAAGCACGTCAACGAGTCCAGCGCGATCCCGATTGGGGAAGCGTTTCCTGAGCACCATTGCCTGGCAGTGATTGGCAGTGCATTGCTTGGCTTTGCTTGGCATTGCTGGGCGTTGCTTGCTTTGCATTGCTTTGCTTGACATTGGTTGGCGTTGCTTGGCATTGGTTGGCGCTGAATGGCATTGCCTGGCATTGATTGTGTGGCCTTCATTGGCATTGCTTAGCATTGCTTCTCGTTGCTTGGCGTTGCTTGGTATTGCTTTGCGCTGCTTAGCATTGCTTGGCATTGTTTGGTGGTGATTGCTTGGCTTTGAGTTGCATTGCTTTTCAGTGCGTTGAGTTGCTTGGCATTGCTTTGTTTTGATTTGTCATTGCTTTGCTTTCCTGTGTGTTGCTTGGCAAACAGACAACCGGGGAAAGCGGGCAGCCATGCAACCAGGCAACCGGGCAACTGGGCAAACTGGGCAGCCGGGCAGCTGGGCAACCGGGCATCGGGAACTGGGCAACCAAGGAACCGTGGAACTGGGCAGCCCGAAGAAAGCCGTGCAACCCGAGGAAAGATGGGCAGCCGGGCTAACCACGCAACCCGAGGAGAGAGCAACCCAAGGGAACCACGGGGAACGCGAAGCGGCCAGGCCTCCTCCCGCCAATTCACAAACATGTAAGAACCTCTCTGCCAAAGCCACGTTGGGGAAACACCCTCGTCCTTCCCGACAATTGTAATTACGGTGACAACGGCGGCGACGTCGACGACCTCGAGATCCCACGTCGTGTCACGACGTCGCGGAGAAATCACGCAATCATTCTATGGCACCTCTCGACTAGGATCCACCAGACCCCAGTGCCCAAAAACGGAGCGACAACGCCCGTCGTGACCTCCCCGCAGCGGCGGAATCTCAGGGGATGACGTCGACGACGGCGGCGCCGTCGGCGACGACGGCAGCAGCGACGACGGCAGCAGCGACGACAGCAGCAGCGATGCCGCCGACGACGGCGTCGACGGCAGCACGACGGCAGCATGACGGCAGCGACGACGACGACGGCACCGGCGACAACGGCGACGACGAAGGCGGCGGCGGCGGCGTCGGCGTGCGGGCGCGCCGCCGGGCGCCGGGCCCGCGCCCCAGCAGCACTGCGGCCCGCGCTGGCAGCAGGCCTCGCGCTCCGAGGCCGCGTCCTGCACACCACGGGGGAGGGCGGCGCGCAGCCGTCGGCGTCGTCTGCAGTGTCGTCGGCATCGGTGTCGCCGTCGCCGTCTCGCCGTCGCCGTCGTCGTCGCCGCCGGCGTCGTGGGCCACATCGTCGTCGATGCAGTCCGGAGTCCGTGTTGTCGTCGGCGACGGTGTCACCGCGCACAGCCCCGAGAAGCCCACACACACTCAGACGTGGCGATGTTTTCACAGACTATGGGCCCCCCAGATGTCTCTGGAGCAATCCCACCAGACCTCCGGGCGGAGGTGGGGTAATGAGTTTGCTTCTTCCCTCTTCCAAACCCCTCATTCCCCTGTTCAGGGGAGCGGCTTACCCCCGGGTCTGAAAGGGGGGGGCGCGATCCTTTGGAGCGAGCGCCAAGATGGCCTCCAAGATGAATCAAGCTAGCTCAAGATGGCTCAAGATAGCCTACTGCAATCCTCCAGTATATCCCAGGCCAGCACCGAGACGGTTCCAAATGCCCCCCAAGACTCCCAAGGACGGACGGCCCCGAGCAGCCACATGGTTTCCCAAACCCATGGGGAACTGATGCTTGATGCATTCTCGCCCTTTCGTTTCGCAGTCTTTCGGTTTCCAGAGGGGTGGCTCGCACGTTGAAGCCGCCCCCGTTGTTAACTACCTACCAGACCACCCCAACCCAACCCGAAGACCCGAATTTGACCCTAATTTCGGGTTGGGGGGGGTACGGGTTCCATGTGTTTTTTCAGTGTTCCCCGACCCCCCCCAACCGGAAATGGAGGGCAAATTGAAGCCTTCGGGTTGGGTCGGGTTGGGTTGGGGTGGTTTGGTGAGTGGTGAGTTGTGCTCAGCGGCGGCAGTCAGGACTACCCTAAGAGACCCACCTCTGGAGATGGTGGACCTCCCGTGGGCGCGGCGCACCTGGGCGAGCCGCCGCCGTCCCCCTCCCTCTGGCCATCGCTCGGACGTCCATTCCGTGTGTTTTTTTTCGGTTTCGTGCGTGGGTTTTTCGCCAAATGATCAAGGATGCTCCTCGATGGTCCTCGCCGAAGGAAAAATGCACACGTCCGAGCGATGCTTGGCGGCGCGCCGACGGAGGAATAGTGAGAGGGGGCAGGCCAGGCGCTCCCAGAGGGCGGCGGGGCCTCCCAGCAGCCCCTGGGCCTTCTGAGAAGCCCTCCGCAGCCTCGGAGTCGGGCTCAGAGAGCGCCCGAGAAGGCCAGAGGCTTTCTGAGTCTTGTGACAACGCCCGCGCCCCACAACGCGGGCCTCCCGCGGTTGTTCGGGGCGATCTGGGCACACCCGGATGAAAGACAGGGTCTGGGGATAATGGGTCGAGACTCGATGCTTCCGGGGACCCCGCGTTGAACAAATCACGACGCTTAGGTCGGGCGTGTCCCCTTATACAGGCGGATGTTGGGCGAAACTGTGGAATCCTCAAAGAATACACCAACATATCCAAACGAATATTCAAAACATCGTCCCCAGACTATTTTTTACTATTTCTGAATATTCTCCCCCCGTAGAGGCACAGGCCCGACTGCACACGACGTCGGATCTCTCTGGGCTCCCCCCCCGGGGCGCGCCGCCGGCGCCCCCCTCGCCATCGCTCGGACGTGCATTCCGTGTGTTTTTTTCGGTCGCCAGATGATCAAGGATGCTCCTCGATGGTCCTCGCCAAAGGAAAACATGCACACGTCCGAGCGATGCCGAGCCCCGAGCCGAGGGTCCAGGGTCAGCTGCGCCAGCGCCAGCGGCAGGATCTCCGCGGGCGCCTCGGGGGCCGAGGGGCCGTGCCACGTCGCCGGGGAGGCGCGCGTCGGGAGGGGGCCGCGGCCGGAGGAGCCGACCCCCGGGAGCTCCTCGCGGGCACGAGCCCAGACGACGTGCGCGCGTCGTGAGTGACCACCTACCAAGCCCCCCCAACCCAACCCGAAGACCCGAATTTGACCCGAATTTCGGGTTGGGGGGGGCAGGGGTTCCACGTGTCTTTGCGAGGTTCCCCGACCCCCCCCCTGGAAATGAAGGGCAAATCGTGGCCTTCGGGTTGGGTTGGGGTGGTTTGGTGGGCGGTGAGTGAGAGCCTCGGAGGGGGGGCCCGGGATCCTGGCGACGCCAGGTGGGCGTCTGCGCGCAGTCTCAGGCCCCGGGGCCCTCACGGATCGAGCGGGCTCGAAACATGGCGCAGAAAGATGGGGTCCGGGGGTCCGGTCGTGAGTCTATGCAATGTGGCAATTTTTTCTGCTGCAACCTCAGATCGCATGCAGGGCTGCTGTACAAGTAAAATCGGGGGGCGTCCAAGAGGGGGCGTCTAAGGGGGGGGGGGGGGGGCAAAATCATGGGCGACGACAGATGCGCGGCCTAGAGGGGAGCTGAAGACGCATCGAAATCAGAAGAGGCGCCATAAAATCTTGGCAGATATCATGGCCCCCGCCACGATATCCCCCCAGCCCCTCTTAACCGCCTCTTAAAAAAAACCAGGAGCTCAGAAAAGCTTGCAAGGACGGCCAGACACGCGGGAGCCCTCGGGAGTCCACCACAGCTGGAACAAACATTGTTTGACCGATCCATGTCCCCGCTGGCGCCAATTTACCTTCCAGCATGGAGGGATAGGCTGTTCCCTTCAGATTTCGAGGGGTAGAACCCCAACTGGGGTGCTGGGATCGTCGGGCTCGGGCCGAGCAGGAGGAGGAGGAGGAGGAGGAGGAGGAGGAGGAGGAGGAGGAGGGAGGGAGGAGGGAGGATCGATCGATCGAGCTCTCGGGCCGGTTCGGTGCTGCACTCTCGCTGCGCGCTGTGCTGCTTAATAAAATTGCGTGGCCTAGCTGAGGTCGCTTTTCTGAAAGGGGGTCGCGGGCGCCACTGAGACGCTCGGGCCCTGCCTGCACCGCCCTCCCCCACGCAGGGGACTGCGGGCAGGGTAGCACCCGCTATTTCGGGTGCCCTCTCGCTGGTTCCTCTACTGCCCCGTCTACCTCTGCCCTTCGGGTGGGGGCGGGGGAGGTCGGTGCGCGACAAATTAGTCAGGGAAGCTCGGGCCTCGGAGTTGGAGAAGGTCTCGGTCGGAGGCGGAGGAGGAGGGCGTCCTTCCCTGACCAGCTCGTGGAATCGTGCGCTGGTGCGGAAAAAAACGGGGTGGCCTGAGGGGCCGCGCTCGCTGGGACAGGACAGGGCCGCGCCGTCCGCTCAGGCACATCATATTGTGCTGCTCCTCTCTCCGCGTCGTTCTGGCGAGACGTCCCAGTTCTCGTTCTCAGCGCGGCACCGCCCCGATCTTGCGGGTCGTCTCCAGCTGCGTGTCCGTTGACTTCGCCTGGAACTGGAGCCTGCACTTCTCCGTGATGCCCCCTCCCTTGCCCTTGTTCTTGCCGGCGAGGAAGATTGGGATGCTGTCTGCTATCTTCTCTGCCCTGCCTCTCAATATGACGTCCTTGTCGTATTTCTCGAGGTAGTCGCGCTCCGCTCCTGCGTCGAACGTGCTCCCCGTGTAGTTCGCCACTTCGGTCCACACTCGGGTGCGGGGGCTGTCGAGCGAGGCCGTGTCCACTTGTTCTCCCAGCTCCTGGCCAGGTGTTTCCAGGCTGTCTCTGCACTCGATGTTGAACGTCGCCCTGTAGTATCGTTGTTCTCCGTGGTCCCAGTGATCCTGCGTGATGTTGCCGTTGGTCGCGTCCGTGGTAAGCCACTTGCAGCTGGCGAACGCATTGGACATGTGCTTCGTGGTGGACGCGCAGTTGTAGCTTAGCTTGCGTTGTTCTTCGGCTCGTGAAGCACTGTTAGCTATTGATGCACTCGTTGTTCGTAAGGCGGCTTTCGGTAACTTTTGTAAGTGTTCTCCGTCTTCTGCTTGAAGTCCCAGGCCGTGTCGTTGGCGTGGTTGGTGTTCCGCCTTCGGTGGCCGTAGTAGTAGTAGTCGCCATATCTCCGTTGGTGCTGCCGGTGGTGGCGCTGCTCGTCGTAGGCGTGCTCGTTTGTGGCAGTTGGCGATCTCGTTGTAGTTTTCCTCTATCGTTTCCTCCAAGTCGTTCTCGTAATATTCCTTCTCCTCGGCGTTGTGCGGGATGGCCTCCAGGTGCTGGGTATCCTGCTCGGTGCCTTCCATGCCGTCTGATCCCCCTGGGAGTCGCCAAAAATCAAGCCCTTCCTGCTTCGTGAAGTTTGCCGTAGTGACCGTCCAGAAGTCCCTCTTGCGTGGTTCGTATCTTCCTCCTGCTCGTGATAGTTCTTCGACTCGTTGCTCTGTGCGTTGTCGTTGTGCGCGTCGTCGTTGCCGTTGGCGTGTCTTCGTGATGTCGTGCAACTTTTTCTCGATCTCGCGCATCTCCGTGATCGGCTGTTCGTCTGTGGCGTGTGGATTGCCCTCCAGCTCTGTCCCTTCCTGGGGCCTGGGTGGGTCAACGACCGTCCCTGGAAGGCCCCTGGGTTCGAGCTCGTCCGTGCAAAACGGGGGAGGCGACGATTCGGCCGCAGGCGTGCGATTAGCCTCTTGGTGTAATTCGTGAGCCTCTTGCAGTAGTCCGTCGGTTTCGGCGCCTGGCAGTAGTTCTTCTGCGCTGTCTCTACGAGGATGGTGTTGTTGTCCGTGAAGAGCTGACCGACTCCCTTTCCTGCTGGGTCCGCTATCCTCTATGATCAGCGGCGTCTGGTCGTGATGCAGGGCGATCGCGAGACTTCTTCCACTGAGCTGCGGCTCCTGGATGTCGATGATGGTGCCCGTGCTGCGGTTGATCTCTTCTCTTGGTTGCCAGCCCGCGTCGTAGTGTCTTGTGTTGCCGCGGCGGTGCTGCGTAATGTCGTGTCGTCTGCGTGATGTCCCCACGATGGTGTCAGTATTGTTGTCCTCCTCGTATCTCACCGCGAACCTGTCGGGCTTTGCCGAGAGCTGGCTGAAGAGGAGCACAGCGAGAGAGGCTGTGAGTGCTGCCATCATGCGGGCCGCCACCCCTTCTGTCTGCTCGGTCCGAGGAATCGCATGGTGGCGGTCTGGGCTGCCCTGACAATATCTTAGGCCCAGATGGCAGCTGAGGAGGGAGGAGGAGGAGGAGGAGGAGGAGGAGGAGGAGGAGGAGGAGGAGAAGAGGAGGTGGAGGCAGGAGGAGGAGGAGGAGGATGAGGCGGAGGAGGCGGAGGAGGAGCCATCGACCAGCGCCCGTCCCCGCGATGCCCTGCCCCATCGGGGCGCGCGTCCTGCCCTGCGGCGCTCGCCTGCGCGGGTCGGGCGCCAGAGCCGTCGCGGGCGGGCGCCTCGCGGGCGCTCGGGCCCCGCAGGCCCCGCAGGCCTGGCTCGGAGGGCGGAGGGGCCCTGCTCGCAGGGAGCGGGGACGGCGCGGTGCACAACCAGCGCGTTCGCTGCCGAGGGCGCGATTGGGGGGTCTTGGCTAGTGTGAAGGGGCGTGGTGGAACTACATGTGTATATATATATATATAGATATATATATATATATATATATATATATATAGAAAGAGAGAGAGAGAGAGAGAGAGAAAGAAAGAAAGAAAGAGAAAGAGAAAGAGAGAGAGAGGAAAAGAGAGACAGAGAGAGGGAGAGAAAGGACGAGCTGCATAAACAGAATCTTCCAGCGGTCCGCCAGGATGTCTTGGATCTGCGCCCCCTCCCTGGCGCCTGAAGCGCCGCCAGGGGGGTCCAGCGCAGATCCAAGAAATCTGCTCGGACCGTCGAAAGTCTGTTTAGGTCGAGCATGTCCTCCTAAAGGGGGATTTCGGAAGAAAAAGAACACATAGTCAAAACATATTCAAAATAGTCAAAAGAGCAGAGGCAAGCGCCCCCAGACTATTTTTGATAATTCTTGACTGTTCCTCCGATGTCCGACTCAAGTCTCTCTTTATGTTTTTTTCTTGGAAGGCATGCACGCTTGGAACCCTGTTGCTGCCCACCCCTTCTGACCCCGCCCCCGCGCTCTCCACCAGACTTCCTCTTCCTCTTGCGCACAAACAGGGAAACGAACTCTGTACACCTACGATTTTCTGGCGATCCTGGTGTATACATGTTTCGCTGCTTCCCGGAAAACGGGACAAAGTAGACACTACACCACCCCGACGTCGCCCCCCTCAAAAAGCCATGGGATTGAAAAGCAGCCCGCCACTAGTGACGTAGATGTTCTGGCTTCCGACGTCCTGCGCTCGCTGGCATCTTACGCCGATGGGGCTCTCGCCGTCGACAAGCTTGAAAGGCTTCCGGAATGGTTCGAGCACCTCCTCCTCCCCCTCCTCGCTCCTCCTCCTCCTCCTCCTCCTCCTCCTCCTCCTCCTCCTCCTCCTCACCTCCTTTCTCTCATCTCCACCTCCGCCTTCCTACCTCCTTACCCTCCTCCTCCTCTCCTCCTCCTCCTCCTCCTCCTCCTCCTCCTCTCCGCCTCCTCATCCTCCTCCCCCCCCCCTCCCCCCCCTCCTCCCCCTACCGGCACCCCCTCATCCCCCTTCGCTCCTCCTTCCTCCTCTCCTCCTCCTGCTCCTCATCCTCCTCCTCCTCCTGACCTTCCATCCTCCTCACCTCGGTCCTTGAAATTTGCTCCTCGACACCTCCTCCTCCTCCACCCCTCCTGCCCTTACTCCTCATCTATCTCCTCCTCCTCTATCCCCCATCCCTCCTCCTTCCTCTTCAGCCTCCTCCTCCTCCTCCTTCCTCCTCCTCCTCCTCCTCCTCCTCCTCCTCCTCTTTCTCCTCCCCCTCCTCGAATACAGCTACGACGGCGCGGGCGGGCACGGAGAGGACGCCGCCCACGACGACGCCGACGCCGCGCAGATGACGGCATCGGTACTTCTCTGGCCATCGCTCGGACGCCCATTTCCTGTGCTTTCTTCGGTATCGTGCGTGTTTCTTTTCACGAAATGATCGAGGATGCTCCTCGATGGTCCTCGCCGATTGGAAAATGCACACGTCCGAGCGATGCCAAGTTCTCCGCGGGCCGCGCGCCCCCCCCCAGCACAGCACACCGGCTTTTCCGGTGCCCGAGGCCGCCCGCGAGCCCGTGGCGAGCACTTCCCGAGGCTCGAGAGGCGTGTCCCCCCACAGGCGGATCCTGGACGAAACATCAGGAGGGGGCCCTGGGACACACCCATAAATTCTGATTTTTTCCGGGGTTTTGTCTTCCCCCCACTTCCTATACTCTCCCATATTTTCCGGGGAATCGACGATTCATTGTGTGTTTCCCCCCTGACAACATTAAGAACACTTAGAAATATTCCCATGCTTTTTATGCAAAATCATAAACAACAAAACAGAAAAATGTTCCCCAAACTAGTTTTAACTATGTTTGAGCATTCCTCCTGTAGAGGGACAGGCCCGACTTCACGCGAGTCGCACCTGTGTGCCCCCAGTTCCAGCGAGGCCCGCCAGGCTCGCCGAACACGCGATGGCGTCCGCTCTCGCTGGCATGACAGGCCCCCCAAACTTCTGGACCCCACCCTGCGAATTGGTTCTGGAGGCTGACTGGCCCCCCCAAACAATTGCACATCATACCCAAAAGCCCCGGGGGGCAAGCGAGGGTCCTCCCCGTGGGCCTGGGATACAAAATGCCCTCCATGGGGCGTGGTTCTCCCGGACGATGGGATCTGGCTAGGGCGGGGAGGGTGTCGTATACAAGAAAAAAATGGCTGGATGGTTTATTGCTGTTAGCCCTGAAGCCCGAAACGGGCCCACCCAAAAACTGCAAATTCTTAAAAAAACGGACCGCCTCGACACTACCGTGAGGCCACTGACGCCGGCGATGACAAACGACGCGCGCGACGACGACGCCGCCGACGACGACGACGACGCCGACGCCGGTGCGGACGACTACGGCTGCCCCTCGGTCGCCTTGCGCGCCGTGCTGGCTGGGGTCTGGCCCAGCAGGTGCGAGGCCCCTACGAGCCGCACCAAGGATCCGTACTTCGACCTGCCGCCGAATCGGCGACGACGGCGACGGCGGCTGCAGCGTCTGTTGGCGGCGCGGACAAATAAGGTGGTGCGAGAGGGGGGGTCCCTTTTAGGACGCCAGAGGGCTTCTCAGGAGGCACGGGCCTTCTTGGAAGGGGCGGCAGGCTTCTGAGAAGGTGTCTTACAAACCAGGAGGGTTTCAAAGAAGCCCCCGGCGCGCCACCATTTTGTGCGCGCCGCCAATTCTGCACGGAAACCTTGCAAGAGGAGGACCGCCAGATCGCTCGGTTTAAACGTCTTAGGCCCTCGATGATAATGGCTGGATTCTGGCCGACATCAGAGGTCGGATGGCGGCGACTCTTGAGGGGGCTATCCTCCTCCTCCTCCTCCTCCTCCTCCTCCTCCTCCTCCTCCTCCTCCTCCTCCTCCCCCTCCTCCGCTTCCTCCAACTCTTCCTCCCTCCCTCGCTCCCTCCAACTCCTCCTACTCCTCCTCCTCCACGTCCTCCAGTCAAACCTGAGACGGATTTCATCCCAGACGTTTTGCGTATCTTAACGACAAGGAGCTGGAGCAGGTTTGTAAGCTTTCGGCTGCGATCGAGGAACCTGGTGCTTTCCCGACAGCTGTGCAAAGTACCATTGTGACTTAGATTGGAAAACACAAGGCCGACCAATCTGAGGGCCCATCATACCGGGGAATTGGTTTACTGCCGTCTGTTTGGAAAGTGTAGGCCTAACTCTGCCATGAGGAGGCTCGGATGTGGGAGATGGCTAACGAGAGACCTTACTTAGCTCATCCAGCTGGTCGAGGACGTGTGCCTCATGATAAACTAATATGTGGGGGGCCCGAGTGGTTCCCACTGAGACTCTGGCAATGTATGCCGGTTGTGTTACCACTGGGTTTCCTGCGGGCTGTGCGCTCGCGACCTTCCATGTCCAGATGTACTCGGCGCCCCTCCCATGGACTCCTGGGCCCCGAGGTTCCCCAACGTTGACCCCTCCATCTTCATAGATGACTTCAGGCTGGTCAGCCACAACAGTAGTGTTAACCTCCTTGTGTCGGACTTGGCGAAGGCGACCGACAGCATGCTGGATTTCATCGAGGCGGAGCTCGATTGCTCGGTTGCGTTGAACAAGGCGGCGGTGCTCGGCTCGTCCGCCAGTGCAGCAGACATTGGCCAAAGCTTTCGGCAACTACAACGAACCCGATGGGCCCGAGTAAGCGTCGTCTGCGCCAAACCTCTGAGTTGATTTCACCATGGGGATCAGGGTCTCCAGCGAGGCCCGCACCAGCCTTCTAAAGCGAACGTGAAAAATGAAGAGGTGACTCCACTGTTTGGCTCAGCTTAGGCGTGCAGGTGCGAACATGCGCAAGATTGATCAGTCAGGCTTGAAGGCCACAACATACTATGGCACGGAGGTCGTGGGCCTCACGAGCCCCGAGCTGAGAGAGGCCAAGTCCTTGTACCGAGAGATTGTTGGTCCCTGCTGCGCGACCAGATCCAAGTCTCTGGCGCTGTCTATTTGGGGAGACCCTACCTGGAGTGCTGCTGTGGGGCCGGCCTGCTACTGGGCCAACTGAACTTGGAGAATTGCTCATCGACCTGGAACCGTGGGCTTTGCCATCCCCAGCCTCAGAGCCCAAGCCCAACAGGTCCTCAGCAAGCCATCTCAGAAGTGGTGATCCAGATTTCGTAATGAAGGGAGGGGGGGCTCATTTCGGGGGGGGTCTCTTCCAGGCTATCTTGGAGGACCTGGGGGGTCTGGGGACGATGTTTTGGAGGGTTCTCCCACGGGGGAGGTCTGAAATGGCTTGTCTTGGAGGGTCCAGACCCCCTCCCTTTTATTACGAAATCTGGAGCACACATCCGTGGTCCCTTGGGGGCCACCCTCCTCAGTACGGGCCGTCTGAAAAGGCAATGCCTGACCCTTTCGTCTTCCAGGACTCTGCAGGACAAACCGTTTCCCTTTCAGCACGACCTCCCACGCCCTCCTCGAGAAGATGTCTCTCAGACCCGGTGGCAGCAGCAGCAGCTGGCTGCACAGGCCGCCACCCGTCGAGATGTCTGGGCCCCTCGACGCTTCGATCCTGCGGCACGCGCTGCAGGATGGCACGATCTGGAGCCACGTGCCCAAGACGCTGCTGTGGTACGGACGCTCGTGTATTTGGACCAAGGGAAAGACGGCTGCAGTAGGTTATGCCGCTGAGGTTGGATGTGAGTTTTGGAAAAGGCCCAGTCGACTCGATCCCCCGCAGGCTCCTGGGGTGCCCTGGGCCCCACAGCGTGAGGATGGAGAGACTGCAGGAGGATGACGTCCAGGAACTGACAGGTCCGAGGAGGGGGGGGCCACACGTTTGAGGGTGTCAGCTTCCTCCTGAACTGGTTGCCGTACGGCCGCCTGGATTAGGCCCAATCCGTGCGGTCGAACGGCCAACCCGAGGAGGTTGCCGTGCAAGGCGGAGTCCTTCACGACGGCGGTGTTTTGAAACTGAAGAGGCCCTGGGACACACAAATAAATAGACAATAGACACAAATAAAAGGATCCCCCGTATTTTCCCATATTTTCTGGGTTTTTGTCTTCCCCCCCACCTCCCATATTTTCCCAGATTTTCTGGGGAATCGACGATTAATTGTGTCTGTGTGTTTTTTCCCCTCCTGAGAAACCTGGGCCCGCGGTCTACGATGCCCCTGCCTGGCCCGTGGCCGAAGCCGACGAGGCCGGGGACCTCGCCGCCAGCCTCTCTGGGCCCGTGGGGGCCGGCCTGCCGCCCACGACGCCCGCGGCGAGCACCCATGACTGGGGCCGTGGGACACACACATGAATATACACATACACACATAAATACACACACACAAATGACCAGATTCCCCATATTATTACATATTTTCTTGGCTTTTGTCTTCCCCCCCACTGCCCCTGATTTTTCACATTTTCCTGGGAATCGACGATGAATTGTGTCTGTCTCTGTGTGTGTGTTTTTCCCTCCTGAACCTAGAGTTCCTTGCGGCGGTCTCGTGGCCCGAGGTCACCAAGAGCGTGGGCGGACTTCGAAGGCATCCTTGCGGTCCATCGGAAGCCAGAGGCAGGTGGGAAAGACATGCATCGGGGGCGCGAAACAA